TCGATGATGAAAGGGGCCTCTTGAATGATAGGAGGCGCCTCTTGAATGATGATAGGTGCATCAGGCTTATTCTTACGGAGTCTTGGCACTAGTGGGGTGAACGGAGACGTAATGACACGTGCACGATGTCTGATGCATGAACCCCATCGTGCAAGAAAAACCCGACGTAAAACATCTACCTTATCGGGCCGCTAAAAATAAATTAATACATAAATCAGTAAATAAATAAATAAATAAATAAATAATACCGAAAAAAGGTTATTTGCATTTTTAGTATAGTATTAAACAAATTTACCTCATTGCGTAGAGTATGAACCTCATTCTATAACAATGAAACAATCTCGCGTAGAGCGACAACCTTATCACGTAAAGTAGATACCTCACCACGTAGCGCACCATTGTCATCGCGTAAAAAATCCACCTCACCACGTAAAGATCGAACCTCATCACGCCATGCACCATTATCTTCACGTAAAGTACCGACCTCATGACGTAAAGTACCGACCTCATCACGTAATTCCCCTAACTCATCTAGTAGAGGTGGAGAACAAGGGAGATAAATGTCGTGGCCTCTTTGCCGGTCGCCTATCATGAGGTGATGGTGGAGGTGGAGAAGAGGCTCGATTAGGTGATGGCTCCGGGTGTCGAGCTGTAGAATCGGCTCGATCAGGTGATGGCTCTCGAAGTAGGGGGTGCTCATCATCCGTCCCATCAAAATACCGCTTACTAGCGCGCCACCAATCAGTGGCAAGCTCAGCCTCTGTGGGTGTCAGCCTCTGTAATGGATAGTTGGCCTCCTAACAATATAAAAGCTCAAACAAAGTTAAACTTGTACTAGTAATAACTTGTTTATATATGGTATTATTTGTGTGTTAACTTACATCATTCATCGTCGTATATGGGAGTAACTCTTCCCAATCCAACATGCGGATCCTCTTCAGGTAATAGCCCTAGGAATATCATTTGATCTTTTTATCTCATATGTCCGCATGCTGGGAAAAGCCTCAAATATCCAAATATACAAACAATATAATACACAAACATTAGTAATTATTAAATAATTAATTATAATTTTGGAAACATTATATAGAAATTCTTACCTTAAAGGCCCAAGTAAAGCATGTCAAAGTGTATTTAGAACCATCGCCCCACAAACTTTTTCGGTCCTCAAAGGCAAATGACAACTTATTCCAGGTAGCTTTCCATAGATATGAACCCCACGGAAATAGGTTCCATGCATTTAGGTCCTCTACCAAAAATATTAGGTCATCAGAGATAGGTTGTCTGCCCTCTTTGCCTAAAAAGTCGGCATGCAAAAGTAATAAATGGCATACTCAGACAACATCAAGGTCATCGATCCGAGTAAAACCATCTTTATCAAATAATCTCTTCAAGTCGTCGACGTGTAAACTCGGCTTCGACTTTGCCAGCTCAGGAAAAACCCGAGATAACCATGAAGGGCGGGCGATATGACTAGTGTACCGACCTACATCATCGTGTCCGAAGCGTAGACCAATGATTAAGCAAAACTCCTCCCGCCCAAAACAAGTATGTGCCGGAGGAAAATGAAACCATATCTCCTCATCACCATGTTGTATCCCCTCGGGTAGATCGTTAGTCATGGTCTGAAGAAACAAATGTGCCAACATAGCATCTCCACCCGTATGTTGCACTTTCAGCCATAGCCCGAAGCAAGTATCCTCAAAAAATTTTCTTTGTAGAGGTGTAAGTGTCGACACAATTTTAGTGGCTAGGCTTAATTTATTCCTTAAGGTCAATGCAGCCAAAAAAATTTCTACAAAAACAATAAACATACAGTTAGATATACCAAAAACTCCTTATTATACACTATAAACAGACATGATATTAAACAGTGAAAACAAAGCCAAATATGTTTCAAACTAGCACGGTATTCAACCAAGTCATTATTCCATCATAGTTCACATAATGCATCAGATAAAATTCCAGAAGTAAGCACTTATATAAACATTTAAAAGGACAACATATAGGTTTAGTGCAGGTTCAAGGACAACATAAAGAGTAGTAGTTTATTCTTGAAACTTAAATTAGCAACACTGTGAAGTTAGTATTTGTCTTTGTTTTTTGGTTGAAGTAATACAATTCATTCAAGTTTCAATTTGCAAAATAAAAGAAGTTTCTGAAACTTAAATTCGCAATGCGAAAATGAAAATCGCAACGCGAAACTAAAATCGCGTTGCGATTTTCATTTTCGTGTTGTGATTTTTGTGTTGTGATTTAGGGTTTCTTCAATAAAAAGATAAAACAAAGACAAATACTAAGCAGTTTAGCAGTATTGGTAGCAACCGAATGAATTTACTAAGCAATCTCGGTGAAATGATTAATCTATATATATTGAAATTACCAGTAAATTTATCATAAATATAAGAAAAATCTAATAATAATACAAAAATTTCAAAATAAAAATAAGAGATTAAAAAAACTAACCCTCGGTGGTTGATTTTCCATTTCTGAACGTGAATGGTTGTGAGGGTTGCTCTGAGAGATGGAGATAGACGGATTTCGTCGGAGATGGGGACAGATGTCGCCGTAGAGAGTGAGAGATGGAGATAGGACTGAGTTGTGATTTAGGGTTTTAGGTTAGAGATGATTTGCGATAATACTGTTTACATTTGTGTTGCGAAATTAATATTGTGTTTCGCGTAAAAACGTTTGACTTTCGCGTTGCGAATTTGACTTCTGTGTTGCGATTTACAAATTCGAGTTGCGAATTTGACTTTTGTGTTGCGAATTTGACTATCGCGTTGCGAATTTGACTTTGTGTTGCGAATTTGACTACCGCGTTGTGAATTTGACTTCTGTGTTGCGATTTACAAATTCGCGTTGCGAAATTGGAAACTGGGTTACGAAATTGGAGTTCGCGTTGCGAATTTGTTGGTCATTTTGGCAAATCCAAAAAAAGTTGGTTAAATTCGTATATTATAAGGCATTTTTGGTCACTGAGGTTATTTTCTCTTTTAAATTTAATTGAGCTTCAAAGTTATTCTTAAATACATTGAGATAATATATATATATATATATAGTATAAAATTCTTATAAATATATATTTTAATATGTTTCTGATACGCTGATTAAAGGGATAATTAGTGAATTCTTATAAACCACTGTTGATTTAAGGAGATACGCTGTTTAAAGGGATGGCATATATTTAAAGGTTCACTAGCATGAACTCATTAAATTTTTATTAATGTGTGATGCGAGTAAAAAAATACAAATTAATGACTCAATTATCAAAATAAAATGAATCAAATATATAAAAAATATTTTTTTAAAAAAACCAATGATGAAACTAAAACATATTAAAGTATTTGGTTTAATTATAACTCATGTATTTTCAATTATTGTATTAAAAATCAATTATAAATTAATATAAAATATTTTTCGTTATTATCATCATCATCGACCAATTAATGGAGTATATATATGAGTTATAATTCAAATTAATCATTTATTCTTCTATTATTCAAAGTAATTAAGAAAAATTATGGTAAAATGTTTCTAAAAGAAAAATATAAATACATACATAAAATCTAAATATTTTCCTTTCATTTGTGTTACTCTTTAAACATGTAACAAAATTCAATGAAAAAGAAGGTAAAGCTAAAAAATATCACCTATATATTTAAAATATTATTTCTAATATTAATTTTAAAAAATATAAAATAAATATTAAATTATAATTTTATTAAAAATGAATACACATTATTAATTGTTGTTAAAAATAATAATTAATGAATAATAATTTATTTGATTCTTCAATTGTAATTAAAAGTTTATTTTAATATTTTTTTATATTTTTAAACAATTAATTTTAAAAGTTAAGAAATTTTTTAAAAATATATGAAATTTATAATTTTTTAAATTATAAAATAGTTCTTTATTGTTATTATCATCATCATCATTTTGAAAAAGAAATACAAATTATAAAACTTTTATAAAATTATTCATATTTTAAATTACTTACCCTCAAAGTTTTTCTAGACTATATTATAAGTATAAGATTTTAAAAGGGTTAAAACAAAGTTTTCCTAGACTATACTATACATATAGGATTTTTAAAGGGTCAAAAAGTCATTAGAAAGTGTCAAGTGATAATTGGTAAATATAATTGTATTGTGTAATTTCATGCAAAAACCAAAATTTTTTGAGCTATAAAATAATTTACAAAAGCATATTTAAAAATTTTAATGTAGACATTTTTTTTTGCCCAAAAAAAATAAAGAAAGTTGACGTTTTTACACAACAATCACCTAACATAAATTAATTACCTATTAGATATAATTTTAAGAAATTTTACAGATTTAACATCTATCTCAGAAATACACGAATCATCATTGACGCCTTACCTGAACTGGTGCCACGTCTGTGAGAGGTGCGGATGATGATCCGTACCTTATTAAAAAAAATATTAAATCAGTAACATTTTTTGAAACGGCATCTGACATATAATTAATTTTTGTCAAAGTAATTTTCGGGTAAAAACGCCTAGAGTACTTACATAATTAAAAGGAATATAGTTAAAATAATATATCAATAAAAGTGTAATTTTAAAGAAGAGAGGGGTACTTCTGTAAAACCAAGTTACGCGCCAGTAAACAAACTAACTCGATCCCACGTCAGCAGAACTCCAGTTTGCTATATAAGCCCTTACTTAACTGCCCAATCACGGTCCTATATTTTCGCAACTTTTTTTATTGTTCTTTTTTTGGCCTCTCAAAAGATTCAGAGATTCATTCCGGCGACGAGGCGATTGTCGGAAACTAAGTACTCTCATCGGTGGCGGCGGTTCTTCTCTCAGGCGGCTTAAAAGGACGTTGTTACGGTTCCCAAAATGCCTTCCTTTGATTACTCTCCTCCTCCTTTCACCGGTCCCTCCACCAGGTGAACTACTAACGAGTACAATACATGTAGTCTTTCAGCAAACAGTTGAACTACTAACGAGTTGGTTTTTTATTATAGATATATATATATGGTACCAGAAATTCGGAAAGATATGATATTCGATCGAAGTGTTGATGCATATTCTTTCGGTATTATGCTATATGAGGTACATGGTATCCCAAATAGTTCTATTCCTTGTGAATACCGGGATTTTCCAGGGTATTGACTGCTTTTCCTATCTGTTCCTATATGAATTCAGATGACTGAAGGGGGAGTGCCTTTCCGATCTAAGCCTGCAGAAGAGGCGGTGAAATTGATGTGTTTCGAACAACAGAGACCGCCACTCGAGACCAAATCGAAAAGTTACCCTCCGGAATAAAGAGAGTAAGTCTAGGAGCGAAAAGATTGTCTCTCGTCTCACCAGGAAAAAGTGCAGTTATCATGTATGACTAAATGCTTACAAGTATTCTAAGTTTTACTCCTATGACTATATGAACAGGCTTATTGCAGAATGCTGGGATCCAGAACCTCTAGTAAGACCGACTTTTTCGGAAATCATCGTACGATTAGACTAAATAGTTTCAGGTTGCACGAAACAAGGGTGGTGGAAAGACACTTTCAAGCTTCCTTGGTGTGCTCCAATCACCGAAGTTTTCGTTCACCGGTAGTTTCCATACGTTACATATGAATGAAATGCTATTTGGAGTACCTTGACATATCATGAACTCAAAATTTCCCTCTCAAATACTATTATAATCTATGTTGCTAAGACTCGGGTTCAGGGCGATGGTGGAAGACTCGTATTAATCCAAGACACAAATCCGAGTCTGCTGAAGTCCTTCATTGCTCTTACTCTTCCGAGTTCTGAATTCTAATGCATTCCAATTCAGCCCATCTTTGCAGGAAATAAGGGGAAGGAAAGATTTCGAGGGAGACTTCGAGTTTGAATTCGAGTTCGAGTTTTGGAAGCTTCATCTTAAAGAATGTATGATGTAGTAATACTTTGATTTGAGCAAAGTACAAAACCATGCTGTCATTGAAAGAAAATGATGAACTCCCCCGCCCCCTCTTCTTTTTTTGGTCCCTTTCTTTTTTGTATACAACAGCTTACATAATCATCTTTCCAATGGAATAATTAATCCCAAGTCCTTGGATTATCGCAATATGATCCCTTCAATTAAATTATTACTTCAACACATAGTACTAAACTGCAGCCGCAACGCAGCGTAACGCCCGCATCGTAACGTCTTTTAAGGTTATCGTGACGCAATATCGGCGCAACGCGATAAGGGAACCATATCATGATTGTTGCGGTCAAAAACCGTTACGTAACACCGCAACACGCTATAAATTGCGCCGCAACGCCGCAACAAACTTTAAATTATCTGAAATATAAAATTACATAGATGAATTGTTCTAATTTAATTCTTAAAATTGGATTATAAATATATATCATTAATAATATTGTAATAGTTATGTTTAAAATTTGTTACTTATATTTTAATTAATTAAATTATTTATTAATGTTATTTTAAAATTAAATTAATTTAAATTTAAATTAAATTTTCTTATATCTAAAATTGACGTGATTAATTTTAAATTAAATTTTTATATTAACATTAAGTATCATAATTATATGTTTATTTATTATTATATAAATTTTGTATAAGAGAGAAATTCACTTTATAATACTATAATAGTATATGTATTTTATCTATTTACTATGAAACTATAAAATTTTATCTAATATATTTACTATAAAATTTTATCATTCAACATGTTTCCTATCAATGATGCATCTTACGATGCACCTAATGTGATGTCTTCTTCACATGGAATAGGAAGAAATCAAAACCAAGACAATCACGAAGATGAAAATGCTTTAGATCCACCACGCCATTCATTTTAGATGATGAACTGTAAGATATAAAATTTTTATATTTGTAGTTATGTTTTTTTTTTCTTTCTAAGTTATGTAAAATGAACATTTTTATGTTACAATATAAAAATTTGATATAATTTTAGTGATATTATTTATATGTTATTCATTAACATTATAATTGTTATTACCCATTATCCAATATGATACTTCTATGGTTTATATTTATTTTTAATAAATTTTTATCTATGAAATTAAATTTTTATTTTCAAAATAAAATATTAAAAGAGTATATTAATATTAATATATTAAAATATAACTGTAAAATGTATAAATATAATATTTTAGACGTATTGTGATTTTTGAGGAAGAGATCACGCCCGCAACAGCCGCAACACGTTACATAACGTCCGCAGCATCTGCAACCGCGATACCGCAACTGCATCCGCAACAAAATCCCCAACCACAATTTGATAATATGCTTTAGCAACTAATAATGCATTAATCTCCTTTCACCCCATCAATTTTTCAGTACCTTACTACCTTGTAATATAATCTATATCATGTAAAGCTAAGCATGGGGTTTGCATGTAAGTTGAGCTATAAACTCAATTATGTTGTTGTCTGAGCTTCCACCTTCACTGACAGCCTCTGTCGTCAATTTCTTCCAATTCATTGCATTCCTTTTCATTTCTTCACTTCCATCTCCTTCCATGACTTCCCTTATACATCTCTCTATCTCTTCTTTACCGATGATTCCTTTTCCATCAATCTCGGCTCTGATTCCCACTCGCCATATATCCACAATGAATTTAGCATTCGTCGTTTGATCCGTCCATTGCGGCAGCGCCACCATAGGCACCCCCAAGCTCAGTGCTTCTATCGTCGAGTTCCAACCGCAGTGACTCATAAAGCACCCCACCGATTTATGACTCAGCACTTCCAGCTGAGGGCTCCATGAAACTACAAGCCCTTTCTCTGAAGTTTCTTCAACGAAGTTGGCCGGAATCTTTTTCTGTTCAGATTCTCTGACGACCCACAAGAAGTTTCTTCCGCTTCTCTTTAAACCCATTGCTAACTCCTCCATTTGATCTCCTCCTGGAGCCGCCAAGCTTCCGAATGATACGTAAACGACTGAACCGGTTTGCTTAGAGTTCAACCAGTTGGCACAAATGTCTAACTCGGGCTTGAATAAGTTAATGCCGTAATCGTTATCGTCATCAACTCGGTTGTCTAGGTACTTGGAAGGAACCGTGGGTCCGATTGTCTTGATCGGCCTCTGGTACGCCATCCACTTTACAACCTCATTTTCCAACCTTGTGAACGTATTGAAGAAAACCCAGTCGGCTTTCTTGAAGCTGGAGAACTGATTAGTTAAAAGGTGCGTCAACGTCGGATAAGCTTCTATGTCAGAAACGAAAGACGGCAAGTCATGAGGTCGAAGCAAAGGCAAGCCCGCCATGGACAGACAAGGCTCAACAACGGGAACCTTAATCAACCCTTGGTGGAGATTGTAGTAGATAGTACTCACGGCACAAGAAAAAGTGAAGAACTCAGCTCCATAAACGCCTTGCTGCTTAGCTATATCCAGCGCCCATGATAAGACCGAGTCATAAACGAGGCAACTCGACTTTGACATGCCGAGTCTAGCCATGATTTGTGGTAATCTCAAGGCGACGACGGCTTCGAGGCGGCCGAGGTAATCGTCGATGCTTTTCTCCATAACGCTATCGGCTCCGAGGTCGTCGAAAACGGGCTCGAGCTTGACGGAACCTTTGGCTTTGATTTCCATGGATTTGTTGCCACAGAAGGTTACGAGTGAGACTCGGAGTCCTTTTGAAGCCAGGCGTTTTGCGAATTGTAGCATTGGGTTGATGTGGCCTTGAGTCGGGAATGGCAATACCAGGACCTGAGGCTGAGTTTCCCTAACATTTTCTTCTTTGATCTTCATTTTCTTATTCATATCAGATTTTCAACTCTTTCTCTCTCTATATATAGCATGACAGAACTTCATTATCTTTATGTCTTATTTAACCAAATTAATCTTAAAAATATTGATATTGAATTGAACATTTACTTCTTGCCTAACTTTCCTCCCAAATCCCGTATGCATGCATGATATCTATAAAATTATTTAAACTCTTAGACTGTCAACTAATCACTAGTTCAGTTTAAAAGTTAATATTATTATAATATATTTATCAAATAATTTATTTAAAAAATTATATTTAATATTTAAATTATTTAGTTAAATATCAAAACGACTTGGTCTTAAATTTTGATTTTCAAATTAATAAAATAAAAACTTAATTGAAATTCAAAAGCTAACTTAACTCAAATAAATTAAACAACTCAATATAAAAATAAAAATAAATACTTTTTTTTTAGCCTAGATAAATTTTGTTCAATCCTACCTATAAACACCTCTATATCCACATTTCACTAGATATAACACATGTTGTGCAAGTTGTGGAAGCTAGGCAGCCACACTATTATCTTCATCTCCGACGTTAATTACTTGGTTTTTGTTTTTGGTTAACAATTCAGAATTGGATCAAATTAATCTTAATATAGGTCGAGTTAAAGTTCAAATCTTGATACTATAAATGAATACAATTATATTAAAAGATTTGTTTTATAACAAATATATGTAATATTCGATTTGAATTAGTGTTGTTGATGGTAATTTTAATTAGAAGATGAATGGTACAAGAGATTGCTGTTAGGGTTTGATTCCATATTGGAGTGTTATTAATAATAGTCAAGTGATTGCTCTTAGGGTTTGGTATCTTACATGATATTGGTCTCGATTTGTTAGGCATGCGAGCCAAACTCAGGTCCTAATATAAATATATATGTAAGCCCACCTTTAAAAGAATCCTTGACTACGATACATTATTTTGCTGGGTTTATTGAATATTAAAAGTTATAAATGATTATATGATTATTCATATATTTTAAAATTATATTTCTTCATTAAAAATTAATGGTAGTATGATCTGGTTGGTAATATGTTGGTTGAGATATGCTAGTCATATCCTAGTCAATAGGTTAACATCCAACTCATATTACTATCATTTTTTAACAGAAAATGACGAGTTTGGAACATATGAATAGTTAGATGACCATTTTATAACTTTCAATAGTTGAGGGACTCACAAACCAACACCCTATAATCAATGGACTATTTTATAAATTTTAATAGTCGAGGGGCTATTTGTTATAATCAATGGACTATTTTATAAATTTTAATAGTCGAGGGGCTATTTGTGTACTTTACCCTTGAAATTAATACTTGGTTAATTTTTTTGATCGGTAACTAGTAGGGGTGTAAATGAATCGAGCTTGAATGAACAAGATAATGTTCGTGTTCGTTTGTTTATTTTTGAATGTGTTCATGTTCGTTTAATTTTTTAATATTGCGTTGTTGTTCGTTTATTTTAATTTTTCCAAACGTGTTCGTTTGATGTTCGTTTGATGTTCGTTTATATGTTTGTTTAGCGTTCGTGAACATATTCGTTTATTGTTCGCGAACATGTTTGTTTAGCGTTCGTTTATCATTCCCAAACATGTTCGTTTAGAATAAAAGGGAAAAGAAAACGACGAGAAAAGGTTTTTCTTTGTGTTATAATAGGGAAAATGGTAAAATTACACAATTAGTTCTTAAATTTCCTGGGATTCATAGTTTAAACTCCAAATTTCATCATATATTAAATTTTAGTATGTACTTTCACTAATATTCAAAATAAAAAAAATGAGCATATAAATGAGCTTGTTTTTAAGAATATAAATGAACCGAACACACCTCTGTTTGTATTCGTTCATTTATTAAATGAACATAAAAATTTATTCATACTCGTTTATTTAACATAATAAACTAACATAAATAAATATTATACAAACAATTTACAAACAATTCACCAAACGCTATATTCATTTACACTATATAACCAATGAAACCACTACGTCATTTTTTAGTCGAATTTTAGGTGCCCTAATCACCAAGGCCGTCCCAATCCGGAAGATCTGGTAGTAATTAACCCATATGTTAACATTAGGGGTGTTCATTCGGTTAAAACGGTGGCCGACCGAACCGAATTAACCATAACCGAATTAAATAAACTTTTTTTTTTCTTTAACCGTTAACCGAACCGAATTTTTTTTCGAACATATTAACCGAACCGAATAAATTTCGGTTAATTCGGTTAATTTCGAATTAATAAAATTTTCTAATTTATATAAAATTAAATATTTTTTAATTCAAAAAAAGTTTATAATTAATTTAAATAATAAATAATTATAAAATAAAATTTTAGATAAATTTTTTAATTAATTAATATTGATTTAAGTTTAAAAGTTATTGAATCTTAAATTATTAATTGGGTTTTAAATGGTTTGGGCTTAGCTCATATGTTATATATAATATATTTAATATTTTTTAATTAAAAAACAGTTTATAATTAATTTAAATAATATATAATTATAAAATAAAAAATTTATATAATTTTTTAATTAATTAATATTGATTTAAGTTTAAAAGTTATTAGATCTTAAATTATTAATTGGATTTTTAATGATTTGGGTTGAGTCCATATGTTATATATAATATATTTAATATTTAAAATTTAATTCGGTTAATTCGGTTAATTAACCGAATTCGAACCGAATTAACCGTTAACCGAATTCTAAAAATTTTCTTAACCGTTAATCGACCGAACTAATTCGATAACCGAACCGAATTAATCAAACTAATTAATTCTATCGATTAACCGAATTAATTCGGTTATTTAAACACCCCTAGTTAACATTATCCATGTGGGTTAGCATGTATTCTGTTGTGAACAGTGCCTTAGCACATCGAGAGTTGGAAACTAGACCATCTGCTCTTTATCTGTTTCAACCCCTCTCTCTCTCTTTCTCTCTTTAGTTATGTCGTCCATGGCGTCGTGTAAATTGTAATGAATCAAGTTTTAGTTGAGTATGAAACCGAGAAGAATGTCTTTTTGCTTTTGGAATTTGGGGCACATCTTCATGTAAAGGAAACACTTTTCTTTTAGGGGTTTTATGGTTCTGATTCTTGATTTCAGATGCGTATTTGCTTGGCGATATCAATTTAAGGTTCGAACCCTTTTCACTCCAATTTTGTTTTGGGTTTTAGGGATTTCATTTGTCCCTTATCTCAGCTTTCTCACTTCGTCTCTCTTTCTTGTTTGATGGACGAAGACTGGAAAATTCGCTGCTTTCGATTCCTTTTGAAAGTTGAAAAGCCTGAGAATTTGGTTGTATTGAGAGTTTTATTATAATTCCATTGTCAATTATCATCTCACCTTTCTTCCTAAGTGCATTTGTGTACTTGGCAGAGCAGGACAAAAACTTTCTAAACAAATTATCAGGACACGAGTGGGAAAAGATGAGTGTCTTGTACAAATTTCTGAAAGTCTTTTTTGAGGTGACTAGTGTATTTTCTATAAACAAACAGCCGACTTCAAATTTGTATTTCAGAGCGGCATGTAAAGTTCTTAGTCGCTTACTTGATATGGTGGAGGTCCAGAAATGTTTTTGACTTGCATGGTCAGGGAGATGCACTCAAAATTGAACCAATACTGGTCGGCGTATAGATTGATCTTGTCATGTGCTGCGATCTTGGATTCTAGGTATAAGATTAAGTTTGTTGAATATTGTTATATGATACTATATGGTAGCGGCGCTGAGAAATACGTTAATGCAAGTGTTAACACTTTGTATGGCTTGTTCGAGGAATACATGCAAAATTCTGCACGCACTTCTCATGCTACCGAATTATCAGCTGCTACCTGTAAAATATCCAATGATAAAGATGATAATGATGGGTTTGAAGACTATGAAACCTTTCAAAGTGCCAGATTTCTAACTCAAGTGGAGAAGTCTCAGCTCGATCTTTATTTAGAAGAGCCTAGCCATGATCTAAACAGTGAAATAGATGTTTTAGAGTATTGGACTGTATGCTCCCTGAGGTATCCAGAGCTTTCAAGAATGGCTCGCGATGTTTTAACCATTCCGGTGTCCACTATTGCTTCTGACAGTGCATTTGACATTGGTCCTCAAATGATTGGCGCTGATCGTAGTTCTTTAAAACCAAAGATGTTACAAGCATTGGCTTGTCTTCGAGATTGGATGTTGGCTTCTGATAGGACAAGTAAGTTGGCTTATTTGAATTCATTTAGTAATTGTTGTTATCCTATGCATAACTGGTTTGTTTAAAACATCTGTAGGAAGTTCAGGCTCTTTGGAAAGCAGACCCGAAGATGATAGCTCAAGTTCTAGTGATGGTGATGATGATTATTAGGTAATTGTTGTTTTAATCATATATCTGCCTTCTTTGAGGGGCAAAAGAAAGCCCAACAATGCAACTCAAGGTGTTCTTTCGTGCATGCTCGATACTACTAAGATGCTCGTGTAGCATGTTTGATTGTGTTAAAATATACAGAAGGTTTTTTTGAACTTAGGTCTTCCTCTTCCAGCTTATCTGAAGTGCTGCAGAAGGGCCAACTTGCTTCTAGTAAATTCTGACGACAAATTCAATGGACTCGGTTACGAATCAGAGTTACAAACAAATGTGGCAGATCAGTCATCTCTAGCATAATGTTTGAAGGAAATGGAGCAACGGGCTCATACAAATGGATCCCAGACTGCCCAAGATTGTGCAAAGAATGAAGCTTTATATGACTGATTTTGGAGCTCATGACAACACCGATGGAAGATCAGAGCAATTTGTTATTTGTTTCCTAAGACTTTGCCAGGTATTGTAGAAACTGGTGATGGTGTAGTGGTGTTAATCGATGTTGATATTAGAGTTTTCATCGACTTCAAATTATTTGTGTTGACGAAGCTTATGATTGAACTGCCTGTGATTAGGCTTTGAAGCTAAGCTCTTAAAGAATTGCAGCATTTGATATATTCAAATTTGTGTTGGAAATGCAATTTTAGAATGAACACCAAAGGCTTTATGATTTTTATTGTTGTAGACAGGGCAACCCTCATCTCTGTTCGAAAAACTATGTCTCGGAAACGGTGATTTCAAAATCAAATGAACTGAGTTTCGGATCTACCATTTTAAGAGTACTAACCCTATTTAGATTGTGCCAGTATTGTAGAAACAAATACATCAGTGTTCTTGTCTGAAGTTTCACCTTCACATGTTGCTTCAACTGCCAATTCCTTCAATTTCAGAGCATTTTCTTTCATTGCTTTCCCTTTCTCCCCTTCCATAACCTATATAAGGCAACCCTAAATTTCATCTCGACTCACAATATGATGCGGAAGACGGTTATCGGATAGAGCAAAATCGTAACTGATAATTTGTGAAATAAAAATGAGGATAAAAGAGACACAAAATTTACGTGAAAAACCCCTAAATAATATAGGGTAAAAACCATAGACAACGGTAGAATAATTTCACTATAAGAAAATATGAATTACAACTTCTCTCGATCTACCAAGGAGAAAACAATGATAATTCTCTCTTGACAAAAAGAGAAAACAACTCTCAAGAAACTCTCTAAATTCTCTAGTATTAGAAGAAAGATAGAATGCTTTGAGATGATTTTGAAGTTAAATGAGCTAGGGTATTTATAGTTGAAGCTTAAGGACTAATTTGTAAATACCCTAAAGTACAGGGACTAAATTGAATTCTACCATTTAATAAAAAATTGCCATGCACTTTTCGGTGCATTAATTCCACCGATTCTACCGAAAATAATGTGGCCAACTTGGCCACTTGTTGGCCAACTTTTCAATAATCTCCCACTTGAAGATTTGATTGGAACAATCGTATCTTCATAACATTATTCTTAGGGCTGAGCAACGAAACCGAGAAAACCGAAAAACCGACACTAACCGAGTAAAACGGTTCGGTTCGGTTCGATTTAACGTTATACGGTTCGGTTTTCGGTTGGGTTTAAATATCAAAATCATAGAATTCGGTTCGGTTCGGGTTTTCCATATGGAACCCATTTGTTCCATATTAACCCGAATAAACAAATTAGTCCGGTTACCCAGTACCCACTTACCCGGTTACCCTTACCCATAAGCAGTAAGCCCAATTAAAGAAAACCCTAAATCTAAATAACAATATGTTCTTTTTCTCGACTCTCCAGCCCTTACCCAGCCGTTCTTGACTCCCCTTACCCAGCCGTTCTTGACTGAACTCTCCACTCTCCATTCTCCAGTATTCACCATTTTCATTTCTGCAAGGATTCGACAGAGCTTCAAGTCTTCAACTGCAACGATTCGAGGAGCTTCATCTCTTTCCTTTCGTCTTAGCATCTTGAACTTGATTTCGTAAGGTAAATAATATTAAAAATATTTTGGTATGTTAATTTTGGGGTGTGAATTTAGGGGTTTTTTGTGGGTTTCAATGTTTCATTGATGATTGCTATTTTGTTTCATGAAATATATTATTTACATGTGGGTCTGTGTTCTGTTGATCCTGTTTTGATAGTGGATGCCTGGATGGTATAGTGGGTTGTTCTCAGGTGATTTATAGATAGGACTAGGACTAGGTTGAGTCAAAGAGTGGTTGCTTTCGTAAATTAAACCTTTTTTTCAAGTTTCTTCTAAATTGAAGAAATTCGGAGATTTGTTGCATATTAGCTTTGAATTTCACGAATCAGTTCTTTTCTTCCTTTCTTTAATTTATCTCATTCAAAGCTTCGTTTAGATCTTTATTTTTCCCTTAAATTATTATAAATCATGTATGTTAATTCTTTTTAACTTTGTAATCAGCTCATAATTAGGGTTCTATTTCAAAGTTTTGAACTTTATACATATTTAAAGCTTGATGATTGATTTCTATCTGATTTGTAAGGAAAAAACATTGAAAAAAAAGAAGCAAAATAGATGGAAAACCAACATATGCCTATTAGAGATGTTTACGAACAAATAAAAACAGGAAAGACAAGCAGGAGACTTCACCACTGTTGTTTCTGTTTTTCAGATGTGTCTTGTCTTTTCTTCTTCTTACAAACCAACTTCCTTTCTTTCCAATGGATTATATTATATCTCTTTCTATTTCTTTGTTTCTGGGAATTATAATATTATTATATCAATCACTTGAATGTGGATGGAGACATCTCCATGACGTACTAGGTTGAGTTATTCGAGTTATGCTTCTTCATGCTTAATATGTAGTGAGGTTAATGGTTTGTGTTGCTTTGATTGAGTTTAGCATGATGATGATTTTTGTGCGATGAACATAATTCACGTTTTGATTCAACTTCCTCTTTTTGCTTCAACTTTCACTTTCTTCAATCTTTTCTTGTCATTGTAAAATGTTTTTTTCCTTCAGAAAATGAAATCTTCATTATCTAGTGCTACTCCTATGTTTCGCGCTGATGCTGAAACTCCTCGTGATACTCCAAATAATTCAAATGATGTTGTCAAAACTGATCAATCAGCTGCAGCTTCTTCAAGCATCCCATCGAATCTTTAGCAGCCTTTAAAGAGAACAGGAGGCAGGTTAGGTACCACAAGTTCTATAGTTTGGGAACATTTTACAAAATTACCTTGTGTAGTTGGAGATATTCCACAATGTAGCTGTAATTATTATGGAAAACCCCTTAAATGTCCAACTAAAAGTGGAACTAGTGTCATGCATAATCATATGAAACGTTGTCCTAAGTACCCATTTAACAAGGTAGATGAAAAACAACAGAATTTGTGTTTTAAATCAGAGGAGGTTGGGCAGCAAAGTTCGGGTTCAGTTATTTGGAAATTTGACCAAACACAATGTAGAAAATATTGTGCTAGGATGATTATCATGGATGAATTGCCTTTTAGAGTTGTTGAGCATGAGGGATTTCGAGATTTTTGTAATATGATGCAGCCTAGATTCCAAGTTCCGTCTAGGTTCACTATAACAAAGGATTGCATGGAAATTTACTTGGAAGAAAAAGATAAACTTTTTAAGTATTTTAAGAGTTTCAATCAAAGGGTTTCTCTCACTACTGACATATGGACTTCTAGGCAAAACCTTAGTTACTTGTGTCTCACTGTTCATTTTGTTGATGATGAATGGAAATTACATAAACAAATCTTAAACTTTACACCCATTCCAAGTCATTCGGGTGATGTGATAGGGAAATGCATTGAAAAACACTTGCTTGAGTGGGGAATAGATAAGGTGCTCATAATCACAGTAGATAATGCTAGCTCCAATGATGTTGCGATCAAGTATATAAAAAAAAGGCTAAACAATTGGAAACATAGCATTTTAGGGAGTGATTACATTCACATGAGGTGATGTGCACACATATTAAATCTAATTGTCAGAGAAGGTTTGAAAGATTTGGATGACTCGATTTTTAGAATTCGTTCGGCTGTTAGATATGTTAGGTCATCACCAGCTAGGATGCAAAGGTTTAAGTTGTGTGTTGAGCAAGAAAAAATTGAGAGCAAGGGTTTAGTTTGCTTGGATGTTGAAACTAGATGGAATTCGACATTTTTAATGCTAGATGCTGCTGTGAAATTCGAAACAGCCTTTGACAGGTTGGGAGAACAGGATTTTAAGTATAGAGATGAGCTTTCAAGTTCAAAAATGAAGGGTCTACCTACTGACTTAGATTGGGAGCATGCTCGTGCTTTATTGCCATTTTTAAGAGCTTTTTATGATGCTACATTGAAGCTGTCCGGTTCTTCATATGTTACTAGTAATTATTATGTTCATGTTGTGTTTGGCATTGGAATGAGAATTAATGATAAGATAAACGATCCAAACTCAAGCATAAAACTTATGGCTTCAAATATGAGGGAAAAATATCACAAGTATTGGGGGAATGTGAAAAATCTTAATCCACTCTTATTCATTTCTATGATTTTAGATCCTAGACATAAGATGGATTATGTAATCTTTGTGATTGATGAAGTTTACGATACTGAGAAAGCTGAACAGTTGAGTGAAATTGTAAAACAAACTTTAAGTGAGTTGTTTGATCATTATAGTTTGTTAAGTGGTAAATCCCAAGAGGGATCAAGTGTTGCTTCTCAATCTAATGTCTCTAGGGTTGAAAATGATGAGCTGCTTGATTTGTTTGCTTATTCCAAGACCAAGTACAAAAGGAAGAGGGCTGAAAGTATGTTTAGTGAAGGAAAATCTGAACTTGAAAAGTATTTGGAGGACAAAGTAGAACTTGATGTTAAGAAATTTGATTTGCTTGATTGGTGGAAGAACAAAAGTCAGACCTATCCCATAATTTCTGTAATGGCTCGAGATATTTTGGCAATTCCTGTAACTACAGTGGCTTCAGAATCTGCTTTCAGCATTGGAGGTCGTGTTCTTGACTCATTTCGGAGTTCTTTAACTCCAAAAATTGTTGAGTGTCTCATTTGTGCTCAAAATTGGTTGAGAGCATCACTTGTAGCAATCCAAAAAGAGGAACAAATTGAAGAAATGGAGAACATTAAGTGTGGTAAGTAATAATTATGTAAACACTCGTAAATATATTTTCTAACTCATTTCTATAAATATTCTTACTTCTAAATATTTTTTGACTTTTAATAGGTTTCGAAGATTTAAGGCTAAATGAAACAATGATGACCATTGATGATTGATCGAAGATGAACACTTATAAAGGTAATTTCTATGATTTAATGTTATAAAGCTTATGACATGATAATATTTGAAACCAAACCGATTGAAATTTCTATGATTTAATGTTACTGCAGCTTATGACATGATGATATTTAAATACTGTTTCTGTTTGTGATATTGAAATATTGTTTTGATAATATATTAAACATTAGTTTTAAATTTAAATATATTTCAATTCAAATGTAATTCTGATTTAAATTTTGTATGATAATCTTATCC